TGATGCTCCATCAACGCATTCATACCGATGAGAGACCATTCAGGTGCCCTCACTGTGGGACTGGGTTCAAGTGGTCATCTCACCTGACTGAACATCGGCGAGTTCACACTGGAGAGAGGCCATTCACCTGTCTTGCATGTGGGAAGGGATTCACTCAGTCATCCAACCTGCTGACACACCAGCGAGTTCACAAATAACTGCAATGATTGGATTTTGCTGTTTGTCACATCCAGAACTGAACTATCTTCAATGGGGTAGTAGGAATTGCCGATGCTGGAGAATCTGAGATAACATGGTGTAGAGCTGGATGAACACAGCAGGCCACGCAGCATCAGAGGAGCAGGAAAGCTGACATTTCGGGTCTGGACCCTTCTTCAGAAAGGGTTTTGAAGAAGGGTCCAGTCCCGAAACGTCAGCTTTCCTGCTTCTCTGATGCTGCTTAGCCTGCTGTGTTCGTCCAGCTCTACACCTTGTTATCTCTTTTCTTCAATGGGGTCTATTTTTAATAAACCTCAGGCCACTTTTAGGTTTTATTATCCTGGATAAAGATAAATAAATTACCTTTGTCTTGAATGCCACGTATTTCCCTAAAACATAAGTTTAGTTCCTCTGAAGAATTCATCATTTTCTGTTTCTTCCATGAAAAATGTGAGGAGCTCCTGAAGTTTCTTCTGTTACTAAGACTAAGACAATTGGATCAACTTCCCTGTCTTCCACTGACCACATTGCCTCAGAATTTCCTCCTTCTCTGAGCCCTAAGATGGCAGTTTTCTTTCATTCCTCCTCCATTTTCACTCATCACCTCTCACTTTATCCATGAAACCCACCAGCTGCTCAATCAAACCTGTTCCCGCTGCATGACTGCGCTCAATTTTTCCATATTTGCTGATACTATAAACCATCCTGTCTTTCCCTTCAGGAACTCTCCCTCTGTCCTTCAAATCTGCCATCACTCCCGCTCCTGTAAAAACAAATGCTTGACGTCTTCATTCTTGCCAACTGCCCCATCTCCAATCTCCCATTCTTCTCTGAAGCCATAGCTGTAGAAATCTACAGCACAGAAAAAGACCATTTGGCCATCAAGTCTCTGTCAGTCAAAAACAACCCAGCTATTCTAAAATAAGAGAGAGCTGTTCTAATCCCATTTTCAAGCACTTAGACCAAAGCCTTGTAATGCCTTGGCATCACAAGTGCATATCTAAATACTATTTAAATGACACAAGGGTTTCTTATAGACAGTGAGTTCCAGATTCCCAACACCCTCTGGATGAAAAATATTTTCTCTCATCCCCTCTAAACCTTGTGTCCCCTGTGTGGGAGAATAATTAAAGCATAAAGAGAGATTAGATGTAGAATGTGTCTAAAGCCTCGAATAAGAGGATGGAATGATGGGAAAATAGGTCAAGTAAGATATACGTGACAAATTGTTGCATGACTGCAGAAAGCTTAGATCATGTTGTGCAATGTTGACCAGAAGCTTAAGACCCATTCTGCTAAAAGATAACGAATCAGCGACCACAAGTTCTGAAATCGTGACATATGACCTGCCTTAAGGGGATGCGGTAGACTGTGTACATGCTTGTTTGCATGCAATACCTGTGTCACAATCTATAACGGTGTGTATAAGTATTGCCTTGTTTTTGTACTCATCGGAGACTACAGATCTGACCTTTTGTCAGCATTGGCTCCCCGTGATATCACGAATAAAGCCTCTTTGCCTCGAAGTCTGAATGTATAACGTGTGATTAAGTTAGTTTCCTCGACAGTCTGGCATAGTTGGCAGGATCCCTATCTTTACGGGATCCGAACAAATTGATAGGAATAAGAGAAAGGCGTTTGCGAGGAAATCGAGTATCCCCAGCCAGTGACCCACATTGAGCCACCCTTATCTGATCTCGGGGAGATTGGAAAGACGGGACGGGCAAGATCACCTATGGAAGACAGAAACTCATTGACAAATCCTCAAGTTTACTATAAATGAACAGTTAGGACAAAAAGCACAAAAGAAAATGTTGGGGAGACTTCGAAGACTGAGGTATAACGAGATCTCGGGGCTGGGGAAGGGTGAATTAGTCATTTACATGTAGAACCACGGCTAATGGGGAAGACACTATATGAATATTTCACGTCAGTTTTTACTGTGGAGAAAGAAATGGAGGATAGAAAACTCAGGGAATTGAATAGTGATGTCTTGAAAGCAGTCCATATTTCAGAACATGAACTGCTCGAGTTCTTAAAAAACATTAAAGGTAGATAAATCTCCAGGACCTGATCAAGTATATCTCAGTGGATGTTGTGGGAAGTTAGGGAAGCAATTGCATGGTCCCTAGAGAAATATTGTGTCATCTACAGCCATGGGTGAGGTACGGAGGACTGGAAGGTCCTTTATTGAAGAAAGGCTGTAAGGAGAAGCCTGGGAACTGTGAGACTGACTTCAATGGTGGGTCAGTTGTTGGAGGGGATTCAGTGAGATAGGATTTATATGCATTTGGAAAGGCAAGGACTGATTATGGAAAGTCAGCGTGGCTTTGTGCATGGGAAATCATGGCTCACAAACTTGCCTGAGATTTTTGAGGATATAGCCAAAAAGATTCATAAGGACAGAGTGGTATATTGTCTACACAGACTTCAGTAAAGACTTTGACAAGGTTCGACATAGTAGACTAATTAATAAAGTTAGATTACATGGGATTCAGGGAGAGCTTGCCAATTGGATACAAAATTGGCTTGACAATAGGAGACAGAGGGTGGTGGTGGAGGATTATTTTCGGACTGGAGGCCTGTGACCAATGGTGTTCCACAGGGATTAGTGCTGTGTCCACTTTTGTTTGTCATTTATATAAATGATTTGGATGAGAATTTAGGAGGCATGATTAGTAAGTTTGCAGATGATACCAAAATTGGTGGTATAGTGGACTGTGAAGAAGCTTATCTAAGATTGCAAAACTGGGCCAGTGGGCTGAGGAGTGGCAGGTGAAGTTTAATTTAGATAAATGCAAGATGTTGCATTTTGGTAAAACATGGTCAGGACTTATACAGTTAATGATAGAGCCCTGGGTAGTGTTTCTGAACAGAGAGTGCCAGGGGTTCAGGTGCATAGTTGTTTGAAATTTGTGTCACAGGTAGACAGGGTGGTTAAGTAGATGTTTAAGAAGGACCATTGATTTTAGGAGTTTGGATGATATTGTTGAGGTTGTACAGGACATTAGAGAGGCCACTTTTGGAGTACTGTGTGCAGTTCTGGTCACTCTGCTATGAGAAGGATAGTATCAAATTGGAAATGGTTCAGAAAAGATTTACCAGGATGTTGCCAGGACCAGAGGGTTTGAGATTTAGGGGTTAGCTGGATAGGCTGGAACTTTTTAAAATGGGGCACAGAAAATTGAGGGGTGACCTCATAGATGTTTATAAAATCATGAGGAGCACAGATAAGATGAATAGCAAAGGTCTCTTCTCTGGGGTGGGGGAGTTCAAAACTAGGGGACATATTTTTGAGGTGAGAGGAGAAAGACTTAAGGGATCTGAGGGGAATTTTTTTCATACACAGCGTTGTTCATATGTGGAGTGAACTGCCAGAGGAAGTGGTACATGCAGGTACAGTTACAACATTTATAAGACATTGGGATAAGTAAATGAAGGGGAAAAGTTTAGAGGGAACAAAAACAGAAATGCTGGAAAAGCTAAGCAGGTATGGCAGCATCTGTCAGAGAGAAATCAGAGTTAATGTTTTGGGTCTGGTCACCCTTTCTCAGAATTGTTTAGAGGTATATGGGCCAAGTGGGCAAGTGGGACAAATTTAGTGTTGGAAACCTGATCAGCATAGACTAGTTGGACTGAAGGGTCTGTTTCTGTGCTGTATGACTCTATGCCACACATGCTCTCCCTTCTCTGCACATTGTTCTAGATTCAGTGCCTGTACCTGCACATACTCTTCTTCTGCCCCGGTTTTCCCACAGTCATTAAAGTGATGACTCGGCTGTGAGCCAATCCCAGTTCTTCAGTCAGACACAGCAAATAATGGAGGTCACAACAACAAATGATCTTTAATGCTTAGAAAGAATCACCTCTTCCCAGTTGTGGAAAACAGCAAGTCCATTGGTTAGTTTGGAGTTTCCTTGTCTCCAGGTCTGTTTGTATAAGCTGTTTTTCTCAGAGTTACAATGATGCAGCCTCATTCACTTAGTCAGTGATCAGGTCTCATTGAACAACAATAATAATAACTGTACAGCTTAAAAACTAGAGTTTTTTTTAACAATGCAATTTGAAGGTCTTATGAGGAAAGTCTGAGGAACTTGAGGCTGTTTTCGTTAGAGAGAAGAAGGTTAAGAGGTGACTTAATAGAGACATACAAGATGATCAGAGGATTAGATAGGGTGGACAGTGGGAGCCTTTATCCTCGGATGGTGATGGCTAGCACGAGGGGACATAACTTTAAATTGAGGGGTGATAGATAGAGGACAGATGTCAGAGGTAGGTTCTTTACTCAGAGAGTAGTAAGGGCGTGGAATGCCCTGCCTGCAAAAGTAGTAGTCTCACCAACTTTAAGGGCGTTTAAATGGTCATTGGATAAACATATGGATGATAATGGAATAGTTTAGGTTAGATGGGCTTCAGATTGGTTTCACAGGTCGGCACAACATCGAGGGCCGAAGGGCCTGTACTGCACTGTAATGTTCTATGTTCTATATCCCAAGCAGTTTCACAGGAACATATAGACATATTAGGTCAAATATCCAAAAGCGTGTCCAAAGAGGTCAGTTATGAGGAATGCCAGAAAAGAGGGAAGTGAAATAAAAAGGTGGAGAGGGAAGAAATTCTTAAGCTTAAGGTCGAAACAGCAGGAGGGACAACAACCAATGGTGGAGTGATTAAAATCATACATAAAGAACATCCAGTAATGGTGTAACATGCATGTATGCCCAAGAGCTTTGGGACATAGATCATTCCTGTGTGGCAGTTTCTGTGGAACATGTTCCAAAGATGTCATTAGATTTGAAATGTTAATTGTGTTGCTCCCTTCACAGATGTTGCCAGACCTGCTGAGATTCTCCAGTATTTCTGTTTTTAATAAATGTGTGTTTACTGATATCATAAAAAGTGATTGGCCTCAGCCAATCAAGACTGTGCCTACACATAATCTAAAAACCCATGTCTCTAACACGGTCCATATCTCTCTATTCCCTGTTTCGTCATGTATCTGTCACAACATCTCTTAAACATTCCTACTGTATCTGCTTCTACCCATTTACCACTCCCTGTGTAACATCACATCTCTTTTAAACTTATCCCCTTTTACCTTAAACTTATGTCCCCAGATAATTGACATTTCTACCCTGGAGGAAAGACTCCAACTATCCACTCTACCCATTAATTTCTATCAGGTCACCATTCAGCAGAGATTTTTTTAAAATCAGAAATATTGGAAAACTGAAAGAACAAAACTAGGGACATTCAAATAATTAGAAAGTGATAAATTAATAGTGACTCTATGAAAAGGTCCTGTAAAACACCAGGAATGGTGACTTCTTCAAAATGAAAACTAGTCACCACCAGTCCTGACCCACATTACACCGCCTCCCATCCCAATCAATCTATTTTATGCCTAGTTATTGCAAAGTGCAAGTTAATATTTTGTCAAACACTCATGTTCACACTCTTGGTGAATTGTAATTCCTTGCCCACACCCTTCTCTCACTTATACATGGTTCATTCTGTGTGGTTTGCAGAGAAAGAGATAGGCTGGTCATATCCCTGCTCAGGTGCTTTTGATCGCCACACTGTAGATTTGCCAAATACTGTTTGATCTTTACCAATATAGGGTAAACTCAAATCTACCTCACTTCCAGTTAGGAACAGCTCATAGTTTTGAACTAATCTGTGATTTGACAATACATTTCCGGTATTCAGTGTTGACCTCCTGACTCTAAACTGAAGTGTAAAGTAGATTTCTGTACCATGCCTAGGAGCTCTGAACCATGGAAGAGTGTGGCTGGAACACATATCTTGTGCTCCTTAGGATTAACTTGCTAACTAACGGTGGCATACTATCAGAATCCAACCCCACTGTCACTTATTAACTTGCTGATGTTGCGGCAGGTTGGCAGACTGAGTGAATCCCTTCCCCTATACAGGCGTCTGTAAACATGAATGCCCTGTCCTTGGTGTATGTGGTGTTTCAGAAGGTGGGATGAATTCCTTTAATATAGGGAGCAGGTGAATAGTCTGTCTCCAACTGAATTTGCTGGTATGTCATCAGGGTAGATGACCAATTGAATCCCTCCCTACATTGCAGGTGATCAGCCTCTCTCCAGTGTAAGTGCATTGGTGTCTCAATAGGTTGTTGCTGTTTTAAAACTCCACACAGTGGGAGCATTTAAAAGTTACAGTGCCATAGACTCATACAGCATGGAAATAGACCCTTCGGTCCAAGTCGTCCATGCTGAGCAGGTATCCCAAACTTAACTAGTGCCATTTATCTGCATTTGATCCATATCCCACCAAACCTTTCCTATTCTTGTACCTGTCTAAATGTCTTTTAAGTGTTGTAATTGTATCAACCTTTACCACTTCCTCTGTCCGCTTATTCCACCCTCTGTGTGAATAAGTCAGGTCCCTTTCAAATCTTTCCTCTTTCACCTTAAGCCTATGCCCTCTAGTTTTTGATTCCCCTATCCTTGGAAAAAGACCTTGGCTTTTCATCTTATCTATGCCCGTCATGATTTTA